AGATAAGTTCCTTTATTTATTGTTGTTAATAATTTGCACATCTATCCCTACAGTTGTACTGTCTTTAATGATGTTGATGGCGTCTTCGATGTATAGATTAAAAAGTAGCGGTGACAGTGTACATACCTAATTATTGTACGGACTGATTAAAGAAATTGCATTATTTACGTTCCACTTATCACCTACAATAATATTACTAGAATTGCAATTTGTGCCCTTTTAACTAATAAATGGATACAAAAAGGGTCTTCATTAATTTTTCACTGTAGAGTTTATTATTTATTCATGGCTAAAACAAACAAACCAACTAAACTAAAAATTACGTTTACATGGAAAGGCGACAGTTAAATAGAAAAGCACGTAGACTTTAATGTGCCATCAGATTTCTAGTGCGTTCTATATTTTATATATAAATATCTGATATCTAATATAACAGACGACTGCTCTTTGGTAATCCGAACAATCCTTTGCAATAATTAATTCGGATTATCGAGGTTGTGCTGTAGTGAAAACAACTTAAGCAGAAAAAGCACTCGTTAAATTGCAATTATGTACATGGAAATAACTCATTCAACTTTAAAAAAAATTGGTTATGTAGAAAAGTACGTAGAATTTAATGATGCCTTCAGGTTTCGAATGCTATATCAAACAGGTCCACTACTAAATTATTTATGGCTAAAAAACATAAATAAAAAACGCGCTCGTTAAATTACGATTAAATAGAAATAACCAACTGAACTATAAAAAATGACGTAGAATTTAACGGTACTAACAGATTTCATGAACTTCAAATAAGTTTGCTACTGAATTATTTACGGTTAAAATAGAAAAAACAATTTAAATAAAGAAGCGCCCCTTAAATTGCAATTAGATGAAAATAATTTACTGAACCATTGAAGGTGTCAGTTATGTAGAAAAGTACTTATGTACATATAAAATGTAATGGTGTCTTCAGATTTTGAGTGCGATGACAAATAACTCCACTGCTGAATTGTTTAAAGTTGAAATACGAAGAACAATTTAAATATAAAAAACGATCGTTCAAAATATAAATTATATTATTCTGGAAAACTTTTTATTTATTTACTTATTTTACTGTCCACAACCACACCTTTAATTATAAGAAAACACTTACAGCAATTTTTTTTTGCAATTACGTAATTATATATTTGTAGTTTCCCTGAAAAGAATTCCCAATCAAAAAAATTTAACCGTTCAAATTCAGTTGATAATTACTTCTGCAAATTTCAAAGTGAGTTACAAAAAAACATACAACTTGTTTTTCATACAACACATGTATTATTATCTATACTAAATGCATCATTAATAAGTATTGGTTCGTTCTTCATTAACAGAATATCAATTTGACCTCGTATAACCTATCGTGGATAAAAATGTATTCGTATACATAGCAGTGCCATGTTTATTATTTGCAAATTGGAAAAGGGGAAATACAAATGGATAAAGAAAAATACCCACTCAAGTACGTTTTTTAACTGAATGATCACAAGATTGGTAGACATATAATACGGTATATAAAAAGGATCAATTGTTGAACGAAGACTAGAACAAATCGCTCCAAGTGGGACTTACAATCTCCAATACCACACTGATTAATTCAAGTTCGTGTATTTCTTAATAAAACGTCGAAAATGTTGATGAAACTATTAGCTGCAGTTGTAGTTGTTTGCATTCTTATTGAGGCAAATAATGGTGCCCCCGTTGAAGAAATAGAAGAAGGTAAGATTACCTTTCCAAATTTTCTTATGAGAGATAAGTTCCTTTATTTATTGTTGTTAATAATTTTTAATTTTCTTATTATTGGGAGCAATTTCAAAAATATGATCGGAAAAGAAATCGTTAAACTTGAAAGTAAAACTAAGTATTTATTTTTGTTTTTATTTAGATATAATTGTCTTAAGTGTGGCTTATAAAATACTTTGATAATAATGTGAATTAATACTAAAGAAATCATTCAACAATGCATCCTCTCTAGCAGTTCCTCATTCTGAAAAGTTCTTTTGGTTTAATTTATGTCAGGTGGTCCTAGTGGACGGACGTAACTTTTTTTATTAGGTCCAAAGAGAAAAATTATTTTTCGTCCTCCTATCGGTATTGTGTGATCAAATTCACCAAATAATATAAAAACTAAGCATTGCACACGTTGCAAGCATTGACATTGACTGGTTGGACACGTACCTCCACTCTTTCTTATCCTGAGCTAAACTTCGCATTTTCCTAAAACTAGAACATCCCACATCCTTAACTATTTGCGAACAGT